CGTCATTATTATTATCATCCTACTTTTTTTTTTTTACTATATTATTATTATTTTTTAAATCTTCCTTATTCACTTTAATATATTATTCTCCACCTTTATCCTTAAAAATATTTTCTTTTGTTCTTCTCTATCATCACCACCTCTTCCTCTTTATAATTTACTTTACATTTCCTTCTAGCATCATCTTCCTTCTCTATTTTTTAATTGTCATCTCTTCATCATCTTCCTTCTCTTAATTGTTTCCTTCATCATCATCTTTTGCTTTTAGGTTTTTACATCATCATTATTAATAAAATCAAAAACACAAAAAGATGCATTTGCATTTAAAAAAATTAAAATACTGTAATTTATTAAAAATAGTAAAATTTATTTCACTAATTAATTAAATAAATAATTTCAATTATTCATCACCTTCAATAAATTGTTAAAGTGTATATATATATATATATAAATCTAGTTTCATGTTTAAATAAAGAAATTTTATACAGCATAATTCAATATTAATAACTGAAATTAATTATTAATTTTACTTTAAATATTTAAACATTTATTGATGATTTTAATGATTTTTTAATATTCTTTTCTATTAATAATTATACTTATTAATTAATTCAAATCGTAAATTACACTTTAAAGACGGTAAAATTTATATTATCGAATTAAAAATAACATCGAGACAACTGTAGAAAATAAATTTAAGATATTTAAACAAATTTAAAAAAAAAAATTGTATTAATCAATTTTATTCGAAATTTTAATTACTGTTTCGCATCTTAACTTCATTTTAAAATAATAAATGAAGTGAAATGTTCGAATAGATTATCGTTAAACATTAAGCGAATTAAGTATTTAAATTGTGGATTAAATTTGCTTAAATTAATTTAAAATCCAATGATAAATTTTATAAAATAAAATTCTTTTTTCTTATTTACACTTTGTCATACTAGATGGCGCCAGTTGTATTTCACCGCCATAATGAATCGAAATTTATTTTTATTGCGTTTTAATTTTTTAAAGATATTAGGATAAAATATATTTTAAAATTAATTAAAAATTATATTTAAAACTTTAACATTTAACTTTTAAAAATATATATATATATATCACTATTTTGAATTTCTGCTTATTACGTGAGCATTAATGAGCATTTAATATTACCACGAAAACGATAGACAATTCTATTTGGTGTCTTGCTAAGAATATTACTGATTAAAACCATATTTTTGGAGAGATCGAGTTAAAAGATGAGAATTAGCCTATATTCAAGTTTGATTAGATGGGATACGTTAACGTAAGACATGGGCTGCCAGAGGGGTTGACTTCTGGGAAGGCTTTCTATGGTAAACTAGCTCCTATTTATGTGTTAATCATGGAAAGAAAACCCGGAAAACTTCACGCGAATCCGCGATCAACTACCACTGTTCGCGCGGTTTTATTCGTTTGCTCTTGATGGCCCTATGAAAAGAGTGAAGAAGTTTGATTTTCTTAAATGATGTGAACTTATGGACATTAGATACTTATTAAATATTGAGAAATATATATGTATATATT